TACTTGAAAATAACTTGAATGTACTTGAAAATTAAATTAACCTCATTACTGTCATTACAAACGATCTAAAATACGTTTAAACTTTACATTCAAATACCCACACAAATCAGCTAATTGCAAATTACCAATTATAACTTAATACTAATCAGCTAATTACAAATCAGCTAATATGCTCTAACACAATTACGTTTTTTTGCGAGAGTACAGCAAGAAGCATGAAATTCAAATCTATGATCAAGCATGCCTCCAGTGGCTATTATAACAAAGCCATTATCAGCGGTGCGTTTAGTTCATTCATTATCGGTTCTAATTTCGGCTCATTTTCATGCGTTCATGTAAATAACCTCGTTGACAAGCCATGCTCATAGCCACACTCGTGCTCATGCTCCAATTGACGTTCGCGATGTGTTCATGAATTTGCATCCATAATAAGATACGTTCGATAATCGTACAATTAAATTTATTTTTCTCGATCTCGTTTCGTTCACTGATATAATTGATTATTCACAACACTTACAAATTACATTTATTGCGCTTCGTTATTTGGTAATTCAATTTTATACATGGATAGATACATGCCTGAATGGACGAACGATTCGACAAGGAGCATATATTTTCATATAAAACATTATATATTATCTACTGAATATAATACAGATATAATATAACACACACACACACATGAAGCACACGCATAATCATGAATGAAGCAATTCAATTCAGTTAAGTTCACTTCGATCATATGCTAGTATCATTCATTTTCTTGATGTGCTCGCCTGCGCCTTCTATCACATCTTATCAGTGCTCAGTATTACGGCCTGTCTCACCATTCAGTATCATTTTGATCCTTAGTCCTACGATCACTGCCGTACTTTATCAGTCCGATACGAGTATGACAGCTGTGGCTTATCAGTTTTATTAGCAACTCAAAAATTGCTATCATTTCTGTGAATCTGGAAGGAATTTTTGAATATTTTCCATCAAACTCAACCGTTTTCATTTAACATCGAGCAGATTTATGACGATCCAATCGCCTTACTCTCCTAACAGCATCTGTGATTTCCTATTTCCGTCACTTTTT